TGTGTATGTATATATGCATGTATATGCACACACACACATATATATATAAGTAAAAAGATGGAATTTGTTACTGACGGTTAAGAGTAAAGCACAATTTTTTTCCATGACTACAAAAGAGGGTTTAGCCTTTCATTTTTAAAAACCAGCTACCATTACTGAACTTTCTGGTGTCAACTTTCACATTCCTCAGGTTTGTTTTTTTTTTTTCTCCCTCCTTGTTTTTCTGGATACTAAGTAATTAACTTCTTCTTGACACACTTCTCTCGGAGTATACCATTACTTATACTCAGACCATAAAGCTCTGTGGCAAGCATACAGATGACCTCTTCATTTGTAAAGAAATACAGCAGTTTCACACAGACAGATGTTCTGAACCTCAAGGCAGATGCTTGCTCAACGGCTGCTGAGAGATTGTCACCTATTTATACTGACAGAATGGAAACCAAGGGGAAGAGCATTTTAAAGAGGGAAACTAAACACTAGAAACAAAAACACAAGCTAGAAGTCTAGACATCTTCTGAACATCCCTGAAGACAGATGCAGAGTAACATCACAGCCAAAACATTCTAGAAGTATTGATTCTCGTTCTAACACTGAGCTTCTTTGTATACGTATTCTGAGTTTTTGTATTTATATGTAAATGCAGTATGTCAAGAGCAATACATGACTATTTTGAACAGAATTAAGACTTACTTAGCCCAGAAATTCCTCTTTTTACAGTCTTGCCTCTCTTGTCAAGGAAGCCACGTGATGCCTTCAACAACTGTATTTGGCTGCTACTTGTATTCTTACAAGCAATACTGTAGTAAGATTTAGAAGTTGTTGTACTTGCCTCTTGAGTGCTGGATCTGTGGAAGACTTCTAGCAAGATTTCTGTAAATTCTGCAACTAACACCAAAGAAGTTTTAAAATACAGGATTTTCTCTAATTTACTTACAGGATCTAGTGATCACCTAAGCTCTAGAATTAAACGCGACTGGAGATCAGTTAGATGCTTAGAGTAACTCCATGCCTTTCTGGTGTTTTTTTTTTTTGCTTGGTTGTTTGGTTTTTTTTTTTTTTTTTTTTTTTTTTTTTTTAAAAAAAGAAACCTTATGTTAATTCACACAGACTAAGATATTGCAAGGTGAATCTTCTGTACTGCATATGAATGATTTTCCAGTACTACTCAGGAACACATAATCAAAGTACTGCTGCTTTGAACAATGTTAAGTATTTTCCTATCGTTAACCTATCTATTTACAGAGAACAGGTAATAAAAAGACTTACCATGATTCAGTCTCATTCTGTAACTTTTCCTAAAGAATTAAGTCTGTAAGATAAATCGGTTTGTGACCGAAAAATCTGCTGTTCATTTTTTCCTCCACTCATTTCAAGTTTTCCCTGTAAGAGATCTTGGGGGTAGGGTAGCAGACATGGGGGAGAAGGGGGAGGAAGGATCCACGTTATCTTGGAGTCTCACAGCTGGTAATTAACACTGGCATACATTTAAGATGCAGAATTTCAATATCATAATGTAACTCTGAGCCCCAAAATTCATATTCCAATTAAAAGTTATTTTAAATTAAAGTTTTCTCTGGCTTGCCAGAGGTACAGCTTTTTCATTTCACTATTCCATGATTTCATTCCATTAGACTAGACATCATCCCTATGTTGTGTCAGAATGTTTGGACTATTTGGTGAGCTGCCTAGCTCGGCATTGGTGCTTTAAATACCATAAAAGAACAAGTCACCCTCCTGTTGACTAGCTACACAGGAAAAAAAAAAAATCCTTTTGCTCACAGTAGTTAGATTGCTGATGTGCCTAAACATTCTAGCTGTAACAGATACCCACAGGTGGCTAGGATTTTTCTGCTAGAAATCAGAAACAAGACTAAGTTGTTTCATTATGAACCATTATTTATTGAGTGGTACTATACTTAGTACAGAGATACAAACAGGGCCTCAAAATGCTCACAATTTAAGTTCTAATTTGTCCAATATATTCCATGGTCTGCAGAGATGAGAAGTTCACATTTGAAGTGGATTTTCTGAGTTTTGCTCACAGTAGGACTTAATATAGCCTAAACAATAATAGGCTCTTCAGTTTATCCACTTCATAAAGCAGAACTACAATACAGAAATAAATTCACTACATCCTTCAATTTTAAAAAAAATTCCTCAAGCCTTTACACATTTTTGCACACAGCTTCAAGTGCCTTTATATTTGCAACTTTGATCCAAACACCAGAAAAATTAAAGCTATCCTTCCCACATGATAAAGGCATACTTTATAATCAAATCTAAATATTCTTTATGTTCATTAACCCTTCCTACACCTTTAAAGCTTATCCATACTATACAGCACTGCTCAGTAAGTTCTTCAGAGAATTGTCCTTTTGCCTGCTTCTCTCTAAAATATCAGATTTAAAAAAAAAAAAAGAAAAAAAGAAACTAATCACAACTGAAATAGAAACTGCCCCTAAGCTAACAGTCCATGTCTGTCAATATTGGCACAGAGGCCCTCTAAACTATATTGACAGCTCCCGCCACTGCTGTTTTGGGCAGAACCAAGGCACGTCATGCTGCTGCGAATGAGCACTGTCGAGCATATGCTCACTACTCTGTGGAAAATGCTGGATCTAGATTACATTCAATCACAGATGACGTTTTCCACAGGAAGTTAATACACAGACCTATTATTAAAACTCGAGCACGTTTCCTGCCTTGCACGACTGTACCTTTAGAGAGCATCCACCACAGACTCCGAAGGACTACCGGTTTTTTGGGGGGACGGGGGACATCAGGAGCACTCAGCCCCCAGACACCGCTACAGTCTTCCCCATGTCCTTGCTGCATCTTCCTGCGAAGAGACGAGCTCAGCCTCCTGGCGGGAGGCCAGGAAGCGATCACAGGCGCCGCTGCCATGTGCAGAAGCGACCGAGCAGCAAGAGCCGGTCACATCCCCCTCCCCAGGCTTCACCCCGAATGCGTCACGGGCAGGAAGGGATGATCAATGGGGATGGTGCAACACGCTCCGCCGAGGAAGGGAAGCGCAGCCACCCCGTGCCCTGCCCGCACC